CGCTACATTGAACAAAACAGTCAAAACAGTCAAAAAAACAGCCAAAAACTATGAGTACAATGATTTAATTAAACATTTCACATACTAAATCCAATTTGAACAGGATTAATTAAATTCATTGTAATGAAATACGCACCTGGTGAGTGTTCTTTTAGAGTTTAGAATAATAGTACTAAACTACTTAAAGCAATAAATATATTCTGATGAAACTTGTTTTGTCTGCTCCACCCAAATACACTACTTTAAATGGAAAAAAATCTTTTAAATTTGAGCAAATAAGTGCTAAATCGTAAAATACTTCCTTTCCACGAACTGAAACGAGAGAGAGAGAGAGAGAGAGAGAGAGAGAGAGAGAACACATAAAATGTACAGTTTATGTGCATATCAAAGTGCGCATGGCTCCTGAATGCCGTTGGCATTGTAAATTAATGACTTGTGTTCCTTTTAAAATTCAGGGGGTCAGTCTGTCTAGTCAGCAAGCGGCTTCACTTTATATCCTCCGAAAGGGAGAGCCAGGAGGAAAGAGAAAAGCAAAGCAGGAGAATGGACATGGCGAGGGAGCTGTAAGGCAGATAAGAGAGAAGAGCATGTTCTGAAGTTTATCTACCTAACAGACCGTCTCAAAACGCACACTATAACCACGAGTATCATGTTCTCCAGCGCCACTCAGCCACTCTGGGAAAAGGCAGACGTGCAGATTACAGAGCAAATAACAAAAAGGAGGAAACACAAAGTGTATCGTGGCAGATAGGAGATGTGTGAGGGTGAAGGTAGTTCAAGAGAGCACTTACTCTTAGAGAGAGGCTGTCACGATGTAATTCCGCAGGCAAAAAACATGGCTGCCCTGCACGGATTTCAAGCTCGACGTTTATTAAAGTGATGGTTTGGCCAAGAATCAAACGTCCACTAAATGTAGTGGCTCAGCCAAGACACATTTAGGGTCTGAAGTCAGCTTCTTTAGATCTGACCTGGAGCTACGAGGCTAATGTGGCTAACAAGTAATGGAAGCTATAGCCATCTATTAGCATCATGCAAACTGTACTTGCCTGAAATGGTGTTGAGGTGTTCAATAGTCTCAAATAGACTTGCTACTGTAGTTTCTGACAATGTATAACATATGGTTATCTATAAAGGCTGCATATTAAAAAATAGTAGTACTGAAACTGTACGTTTGTCCACTTTCATAGACATTACTATGTCATACAGCAACAGAAACCACACAAGCAAGTCGGATGAAGAGTAACCCTTCTACATATTGCATCCAGTGGCCTATGACATGTTGAAATGCCACCAGAAAGGTAAAATATTCCATGCTCCCTATGCTCACGATATCAGATGGTTTATTCTCAAGTGTCCAAAATGATTCTACCATGACTCAGCCCAGTACTGATTATGCTGCTGTTTGTGCAAGAAATGTTCCCCCCCACCTCCAAATAGTATCTGTGCAGAAACTAACCTAGCATATACGGCCTTTGCAGTCAACTATTACTGTCACATGGCTCACCACATAGCTTTTCAACAACACTGGCACAGGAAGGAACCTACAGTTATGCCAAAAGTGCTTGGAGAAGGGAAAGGAATGCTTTTTCCCAGGCTGTGTAACTAAGCTTTCACTACATGCAACCACAGAGCACTCACAATACATCAAGATTTTATCATTATACTCAATATGTATTATGATATGTAGTTTTTTGAGGTCTGTGAACGAACTGGAATGGAGAAAACGCACCAAAAGTACTGTGAAACAGTAGTGCTATGTTTAATAAAGACTATGAGTATTACGTTTTGTTTTATTCAAGTGAAATTTTCCAAATACAAACCATTTAAAAAGGAAAAGAAAAAAAGAAAATATCGAAGAACTGGTGAAAATGAATAAATAAAATAAGATGATGCCATAATGGGCTGACATCCAATCAGTTACTATGCAGTTTATACTTGCCCTACACTGGTGGTTGTTGTTTAAAGGCTCTCTGTAAGTGCTCTTAATCTCATTTTTTAATGATATATACAGCTGTTCAGTGTCCTAAAAGTAAGATACCCATAATAGTACTGTAATTCAATTTACCACAATAACATCATACTGCCCACCCCTGCCTCAAACCCTGCCACTAGCCTGGTTTTAAAGAGGTAATCATTATTTTACTTATGGTAACCACATTTTTACACCTTCCCGACCCTCTGTGAATATTTAATGATTGCATTTTTCGTGTGTGAAGAACAATCATGCACAGTAATAAATGTTCCAGCCTCCATCTGCGTTTACACAGACTGTTTCTGAGGAATCTGGATTAAACAAACCACTTCACAGCATGAAACAAGACTAAACATGACCCAGCTGTGGGTGTGAGCTGAACCACAGAATGACTAGCTGGACTACAGAACTAATGTAAGAAACACAAACACCTTTCTGGTTTCTGGAGTGCAGCCATTATTATTGCGCTCATCAGGCTCTTGGATTGCACTAGGATTAGAAACCCAATGTTTGGCTTCACTGTCAGTGGTCTGTTCCTGCATTTTGTACAATTTCAAAACAAAGGCACGTGTATTTTATGGCAAAAGAAATGCATAAGCAGTTTAGTAACTCTGTGTTGCCGTCAATTTGTTTACGAAAAAATAAATAAAATAAAATGATGTCATAACGGACTGCCCTCCAATACACCATACACCAACTGTTGTTTACAGTGTCCCTATAACTGGTGCAAATTTGTCTTTTTTATGATGCAAATATTATTTAAAATATTATTTAATAATTCTCAATATGTTGGTCTTTCTTGCTGTCTTTCTTGCTGCTGTTTTATTAGTCTGTTAATGAGACCCAGGCTCAGGCTTAAAAAAAGTGTAAAACTCCTATTACTGTCATAAATAGGGGCTGCTTTGCTTTAGAATACTAAAACTATTTCCAAGACTATTGCTGGTCAACAACTGCACAACCAGCACAGCCCTTTTTATAACCTATAATTAGTTTGAGGCGTGAAGAGGGTCTTGAGCATGTGCATGTTTTGGCTGGGATTAACCTAATAAATTATAGACTTTGTTAGAACTTCTCATCTTTAGCTACCATAGGTTCGCCAACAGTGTTCAATTTGAGTTGAAGGGGAATTCCACCGAGTTTTCAAAATGTCTGCATAATTCAGTGGTTGAGAATTAAACAAGACTGTTTTGATGTGCAATGACACTTTATCAATAAACTTACAGACTCAGATGTTCTTTTCAATGGAATTGATAGGAACCAGGGGTCGCAATGTCTACAATGCAAATATAGCCCTTTTATTTACTATATACTATACTACTATATATAGTGCAAATTTTGAAAGATACATTTCAGACCAAACCCTCACCTCAGACATGTTGTAAAACAGTGTCATAAGCACCAGGCTGTGTATTCTTAGCCATTTCAGGTTATAACTTTCTGTGTAAGGGCTTTATGGTCCATACATCTGCCTCCCTTAACCACCACTGTGAACAGTTCTGATTCAAAGTTGCTCTAGAACCGAGCATTTCACACCAAACCACCGTGACTGACTTTGTTTACATTTTAATGATTTATTTAAGCAGAATTTTTGAACAAAAAAAAATTGGTGGAATTGCCCTTTAACTTACTATTTGGGTCTCAGACTCAAATGCTCAGGCAGCCACTTTACTTGAGCTACTTTTCTGTGCACACACCCTTCTGGGCAGCTGTTATCTGTCCAAGCCTTGCTGAGCTGGGCGGAGCGCACCTGGCCCTTCAGGCCCTTTTAAACCAAAGCAACCAATAAGAACCCATGCAGCACCTGGACAGGTAGGTGAACCACACAGTGGTGCACCAAATGACCCCCATTAAACTCCTGCAGAGCCACAGACATGGCAGGTCCCCAAACACACAACCAGGTGTGTGTGCGTGCCAACAGACATGAAGCAACAGAGCTCCTCTGTGGTTCGTCTAATATGATTTAGACTCCCCGTGTTAGAACTTCGCTCAAGTCCCAGAGTGGTTCACACTCAGTTTTACAAATGGGTTAACACAGCCTATTATTTTAGACTCAGTGAACCCCTAATGGTCAGCCAACCACTTCACTTGGGCTACTTCTGCTGTAGTTAACCCAACAAATCATTTCTCACAGAGCACATACAAGCAGGGAGCCGTTTTAGTGATTTATGGACTTCATGCACAGGCAAAAGTTTCTTAAAGGGGAACTCCACTGACTTTTCTAAAATTTGACATAATTAAATGGTTAAGATGTAAACAAAACCATTCAGAGCAGTTTGGTGTGAAGTGCTGTGCTCCAGAGAAACTTGCCAAGTCAGAATTGTTCACAGTGGTGGTGACAGGAACCAGACGTCCATCTCTAAAAACTCCCTCACAGAATCTTACTACATGAAATGGTTAGATATACACTGCCTGATGTCCGACACATTGTTATATGACAGGGTTGTGATCAAGCTTTGGCTTAAGATGTATTTGAATCCATTTATTTTACCCACACATGGTAGAGAGGTACATGCAGAGCACTGTGGGACAAATAGACCCCAAAGAAAACGTATTTTTTCAGATTTAAGACTATTTTACCATCACCAACATTACATATTAAGACACGTGGAGGCTCAGTGGTTGGTTTGGATAGCAAATAAAATGGCTGTATGTGTTGTAGACATTGTGATCCCTGGTTCCATTCACCACCACTGTAAAGAAATAAGAGTCTGTAGGTTTCTCTATAGTGAACCATTTCACGCCAAGCCACTCTGAATGTCTGTTTACATCTCAAGGAGTAAATTATTCAGAAACGTTAAAAAACCAGTGGAGTTCTACTTTAAAACCTTTAAAGCAAGAGGCTGAAGTTGGCTTCTTGTGCGAGTTTTTCCGTTCCACCTTAAACGGTGCAGTAGTTACAGCCTGGAGCCTCAGGCGCCAGAACGTAACTGCTGCACCACTTAAGGTGGAACGGAAAAATTCGCACAAGAAGCTGGAGAACAAAAAACCGACTTTAAGTTGGTACTCTCTAGTGGTCTTCTTCACTTACCTCGTGTTTGTGGAGTTCCAGTAGACAACGTGTCTCTTGGCTAAAGCGCTTGAAAGCACATGTATGAGCAGAACCAGCAGTGTGAGGACGTTAGGAGCTCCAGGACACCGGGGAAAACTCATAGCTGCATCCAGCCCGAGAGTAGTCCTTCTTCTTGGCCTCTGTTTGAGAAGTATTGTGGGGTATTTAGGTGGCACTGAGGCAAAAGAGCTGACTCGAAGTCACGTCAGGCGAGTTTTTCATCAGCACCTTCTGACAGTAGAAAGCCTCTCACAGATATTCCCAAAGTCCTGAAAGCCCAGCATTTACCTCAGGAAAGTCGAGCCTAGCTAAAAGTTACCTGAAAACCGAGTCTGTTCAGGAAAACAATGCTAACTTTTTCACTCAGAACAGCCGTATTCCGAGAAGCTCCGGGCGTTTCCTCCAGTTTGACACATTTCATTGACAAGCCTGAGGAAATAACTTCTCAGAGACACTTTGGAAGTAAAAAAGCTGAACTTCCTTCGTCTTTAAAAGTATTTCCAGTTGTCTATCCACCCAAACATTCCGTAATGTGTAAGAAGCCGCTCCCTAATCGCGGCTAATGGAGAGAAACGGTTTTCAGTCACAGCCGTTTGTGGTTGACAGTTGATTCGACGCGCCTCGAGCTCACTTGATTAATTTTCACTTGGGAAGAAGAAACTGGTCGAGGAGCTACGGTGAGTGGGCGGGGTCACGCGAACTTTGCGCCAATCGTGGGGCGCCGGGGGCGGAGCCAGGACGCGTCGTCACTCTCGTCACCTTGGCGACGGACTCTAGCTAAGGATGGTGGTGGGCTAGTGAGGGAAACTTGTGCTGTTATTGCTGAGTTTTGGGATTTAAATAGAGATCAAAATCGACTTTCTCCTTCCTTTCTGCCAGCGTAGGTTTAGCAACAGACACTTTTTGTGAACTTTTTCGATGTGACAGACATACAGGCCAAACTCAAGGCCAGAAAATGATTTAAAAAATCTCCTGTCTACACGTTGTTTACATTTTCCTGCTGGTAGCCTACATGATAATTATACTGATTCTGATCTAATACAGAATAGAGATAAAATAGCAAAGAAGCCACTTTATGCCTTTGTTTGCTTGTGTTTTTCACGTTTGGGGCAAGCAAATAATCCAGCCATAGTGCATGCATATAAATCTGACTGATCTCCAGTCTTTGTTTGGGAGCCCATTTCAGCCACTGGAAAAAATACAGCAATTTAGTAAGTGATATTAATGATGACATTTCCCATAATTATTCACTACGACATAGCGTCTCACAATTATGTCTTGTTATCTCATAATAAACAGATAATACCTCATAATTGTGACTTAGTATCTCACAATTATGACTTACTATCTCATAATAATGACTTACTAGCTCATAATTATGACATCACATCCCAATCATCATTTGGTATCTTGTTATACTTAGACATTGTCTCATGACTTTGTATCTCATGACTGCATATCTCATAATAATGAGATCCTGTCTCATAATTATGACTTATTATCTCATAATTATGACTTGCTCTCTTAATTTTCATAATATGGATAATGTTTCTTTTAAAATTTGCCTAGTAAATGATAGTTATGACTTACCATATCATAATTATAACTTTGTCTCATAATTATGACTTAGTATCTCATACTATGTCATAATTTTGACTCACAATCACACAATCATGATTTAATATCTCATAAGAATAATTTACAGTCATAATTATGACTTACTATCTCAAAATTACTAATACAAAGTTTTCCCATTATTATGAGAAACTTATTCTTAGGAGATGTTAAGTTATAATTATGAGAAACTTTCTCATTATTATGAGACGCTAAATTATTATTATGAGATATCTTGGTAACCATTTCTCATTATTATAACATACTATATGGTGAAGTGGTGGTTTAAACTGTTGCCTCCATTGGAAAGCACATTCCCACCAGGTAGAAGAGAATTTTAGTTTATGATCTCAAAAAATGACATTTTATCCAAATATTGACTTTGTTGTTTTTTTTTTAATTCTTATCTATATTCTCAAAAAACTGACATTTTGAGAGTTGAGTATCTTAAATTATAATGGCTTACTTTGTCAAGATTACAGATTCATTAAGGTGAAATTTTGCATTTTTTTATTTAAAGAAAATCTTTCTGAATAAAGTCATTATTTCAACACAGTAAGTGAAATTTTGAAGACATTTAGTCATTAATTCAAGCTACAAATTCATTAATTTGACATCGTAAATAAGTAGTTCAACATACTAAGCCATTATTCTGACATAGTATGATGTCATTTAAAGCAAAATGTCAATATTTTTAAAATAGTAAGTCATAATTTCAAGACAATAAGTGATTATTTTAACACAACAAGTCAGAATTGTGAGAAAAGTAGTCATTATTACTTTTAACTTTTAATACTTTTATACATGCTTGCTTTCATTACACTACATATACAAATAGGCCAGTTGCCTATAATGTAAGAATGAGGGCTTTTTTACTTCATATTTGTATTAAATTAAAAAACAAGTCAAATTTTATTTTTCAGTGGTTTGGTGTGAAAGGCTTTATTCCAGAGAAACTTACAGAGTCAGAATTGTTCACAGTGGTGGTGATAGGAACCACACGTCTGAGGAGTTAACAGGGGAATTCCACAAATTTTTCAAATTTTCTGCATATTTCAGTGGTTGGCATGTAAACAAAGTCATTCAGAGTGGTTTGCTGTAAAATCCTTCATTGTAGAGAAACTTACAGACTCTGATTTCTTTACAGTGGTGGTGAATGGAACCAGGGATCTCAATATCTACAACACAAATACAGCAATTTTATTTACTATGTTTACTATGCAAAACCATCAGTGATTCTGCATGTGTCGTCAGAGCTTTTATATGTAATGTTGATGATGGTAAATTACAGCTAATTTTGAACAAAAAACAAAGTTTTCTTTGTTTACTATTTTGCCCCACAGTGCCCTGCATGTATCTCTTTACCAAGAATGGATTAACAGTACATTTTTGGCCAAAAGCTCCCTCAAAACTATCATTACATTGGACACCGGATATCACACAGTGTATTCATAACCGTTTCTGTGACGGAGCTTTTAGAGGGGTTAAACATTTCAGAAGTCTGGTTCCTATCAGCACCGCTGTGAACAATTCTGACTCGGCAAGTTTCTGTAGATCAAAGCATTTAAAACAAAACCACTCTGAATGACTTTGTTTACATCTCAGCAGTGGAACAATGGACAAATTTTGGAAATTGGTGGAATCCCCCCTTAACAGCCTTAAAGAAAGGTATTATGTAAAATCATTATGAATATGCTGGCTGATGCCTGAAACATTGTTTTACGATAGTTTTGAGATCAGATTTTCGTCTTAAACATATTTTTAAAAAGTCATTTGTGGCTATGTTTGCGATGGAGACAGTTTGACCCCTGGTCCCATTCACCACCACTGAAAAGATATCAGAATAGTAAGTTTCTCTAAAACAAAGCATTTGACATCAATACATGGAATGACTTTGTTTACCTCTTAATGACTGATTTATTGGATTTTGGAATTTTGGAAAATCAGAATTGCCTTTTTTTGCTCACTGCTCTCTGTAGGCTTGAATTGGTGACCTCACCTTCCTGATGATGCTTTCAAAAGGCCAATAGCAGTTCTTCTTCACTTACATGGGCTTATAACACCTTTCACTTTTATTTAGTTTGGTGTTTGGTCACAGTATTTCCTAACATACACTATATGTCCAAAAGTTTGTGGACGACTGGCCATCATTTAAGCTTGTTGGATGTCCCTTTTGCAGCTATAACAGCCTCCACTAGATTTTGAAGTGTATCTGTGGGAATTTGTGTTTGTTCAGTCACAAGAGCATTTGTGAGGTCAGGAACTGATGTTGGATGAGAAGGTCTGGTTCACATTCCAGAGGTGTTCATTGGGCTTGAGGTCAGGGCTCTGTGCAGGCCACTGGAGATCCTCCACACCAGACTTGTCAAACCATGTCTGCCACAAAGTTGGAAGCATGTAATAGTCTAAAATGTCTTGTATGCTGTAGCATTAACATTAACTTTCAGTGGAACTAAGGGGCCCAAACCCTGAAAACAGGCCCAGACTGTTATCCCTCCTCAACCAAACCTTACTGTTGACACTATGCATTCGGGTAGGCAGCGTTCTCCTGGCATCCACCAAGCCCAGATTCATCCATCAGCTTGCCAGATAGTGACAAGTGATTCATCACTCCAGATAATATTTGCACTGCTTCAGAGTCCAGTGGTGGGGTGCTTCACACCACTCCAGCAGACGCTTGGCACTGCACATAGTGATCTTAGGCTTGTGTGCAGCTGCTCAGCCAAGGAAACCTTGCTTCTTTTTTCACAGTAATAACACTTACAGTTGTCTGGGGCAGATCTAGCAGGGCAGAAATTTTACAAACTGACTTGTGGCAAAGGTGACATCCTATGACAGTGGCACATTTAAAGTCGCCAATCTTTTTAGTATGAGCCATTCTACGGCCAGTGTTTGTCTATGGAGATTGCATTTCATATGCTTGATTTCATACACCTGTTAGCAATCGATTTCATGTTTATATATTATATTCCATAATTAAGAGGGTTGTCCACATACATTTGGCCATATAGTGTATATGTTACATATAGTTTTCTGCCTGAATGTATCATGTGACCAAATAGATAAACAAGTGCTGGCTTACAAATGTGTTGATGAGGTGAGTCAATTTCAAGTACCATCCCAAAAATCAAAAGGAGAAATCTGTGCTCATGACTGTATCAGGCAGAATATTTTAGCCAGAATCTTTTGGATTCCTTTGCATATGAAAGTACTCTATAGAATCACCATTATTTCATTATTTTATATCTTTCTGAGCCCAGGATCCCCATTTACCTGGCTAAACTCCACTAAGCATTAGGCACTACAACCATTTTATTACCTTTTATTAGCTTCCCCTTCCAAAGGTGAAGGACTGTTGCTCAGATATTCCTCTGTGTTCATATTATTTTAAATTCAATTAAAAAAAATTCTGTTCCCAGGTAATTGGGAATCCTTTTTAGAGCAGTAATTCAATTCACACCTGCTCCAGTTTTCCTTAAGCTATTTTCTTCTTCCAAAAATCCTTTGAG